CACAACCCAAAAGCAACCCAACCCAACCCAACCCCCAACCCAACCCAACCTAACCCAACCCAACCCAACCCAACCCACCCACCCAACCCACCCAACCCACCCAACCAACCCAACCAACCCAACCCACCCAACCCACCCACCCACTCACCAACCCAACCCAACCCAACCCAACCCAACCCAACCCAACCCAACCCAACCCAACCCACCCAACCCACCAACCCAACCCAACCCAACCCAACCCAACCCAACCCAACCCAACCCAACCCAACCCAACCCAACCCAACCCAACCCAACCCAAAAACCCAACCCACCCACACACCAACCAACCAACCAACCAACCAACCCAACCCAACCCACCCACCCACCCACCCACTCACCAACCCAACCCAACCCAACCCAACCCAACCCAACCCAACCCAACCCAACCCAACCCAACCCAACCTAACCCAACCCAACCCAACCCAACCTAACCCAACCCAACCCAACCCACCCACCCACTCACCAACCCAACCCAACCCAACCCAACCCAACCCAACCCAACCCAACCCAACCCAACCCAACCAACCAACCCAACCCACCCAACCCACCCAACCCACCCACCCAAACCAACCCATATAAGTTAATAGAGGGCCTGGTTTAGTCTGGATTTGGCGGGGTACAATTTCCTCTGATCACGGCCCAACCGGCGATAATCCAGTTCAACGAACTGAACAGGATGGGTTTCTTCATCTGTTGTCAACATTAAGGCAAGGTGGCGGACTGAGCTCCTGATGTTATTTTCCGCTGAAAAGGTCTTCACAAAAAGGAAGCCTCATGCAATGCCAAGATTTCCCTGGTACAAACTATGGCAACCTAAAATCTAAAACTCAATCTTTCGCACCCTCTTTGGTACGCACCCAATTCGCATGGAGTCCGAAGAATAACTCCAACAGAACGGTGCTGTCTCTATTGATCTGCTTGCATGGGCTCCATGTGTCATAATCAAAACCTGGTACCAAACATGGTGAACCCAGAACCATGTAAGGAATTGAAAAGGCGGCCGCAACTATTTCCGGCTAGGACTGCCCCATACTAACCTTCATCTACCCGGGTTTTGATTGTGGCTCATGTGAATCTGCAGAGAGTATTTGTTGATCTCTCCGGAGAACTCCTAGCCAGCTCTGTTTGAAGAATTTGTGCGTGGGGGAGGGGAGGGGGAGGGAGAACGAAAAAGCCCTTAGTAAGCCCCTGACAAGGCCTTATTCCCTCCGACCCCCATCCCTCCTTCCAGGCCCGCCCCCATGAAGAAGTATTAATACTATACGTCATGCTCAGTGCTTTGGTGAAACAGTTGGAACATACTTTAACTGGACTGGCCTTGAATTCAGCGATAGTATACCCATGACAATAAAAAAAAGTACTACCACAGATAGTAATAGTAATCATGATACCAATGATATTGAGACCAACTTCTAGCCTCTATCTTGGTGTGAGCGAGCGCGAAAGTGAGTGACGGCGCTTCTTCTTTGGACCAGGCGTTGTTCATCTCATACAATGCGCGAAACCTGGGGAACCCAACACAGGAACTCTTATAATCTGGTCCTTAAAGGGCAGGCGATCATTCATCTTTTGTTCGAAAGCATCCGATCTTCCCCCTCAAATCTCCCGAGGCCATCGAACAATCGAACATGGCACCTTGATTTCGTTGCTGATAAAGGGGACTCCCGGAATTCAGGGAGCCTCCAAAAGCAGACAAGGGAATCGCCGGAAGCCGCAGCCTTGGGCCCCCTGCCTCGCGGCCTCTGCCTGGTTTGGCTTGCGCTTGGCGCGGGAAGCTGAAGGCATCGAACACGCTCAAGGCCCAAAAGCGTTTTGCCCGGGAAAAAGTCCCCAAACGCTGTGTTGGCCAACAAAAATAATTTTCCAAAAATCATGAAGTCGGGGAACTCAGGGAGTGAACAGCATGTGCGGCTTGTTTTTTGTGGAGCGTGCGCTTTTTCAGGTTGTGTTAAAGGGAAGCCAGAGGGAAACCACCCACCTTTTTGGGAGGGCAAAGAAGCAGGGACTGCATGGGTGCGCAAGCGAGGATCTTCCAGATTGGCTGCTAAAGGGAGAACTTTCCAGGGGGTCGGGAGATGCCCGGATCTGTCTGCACCAACTACAGTTCACAAAATCGAAACACGGCATCCCGCAAAGAGCTTTGGGTCCCCGCTGGTCTTACATCGGTGAGTCCGGTCGCTCGGCCTGAACTTTCCGGGACAATCTTCCCAAGAGACTGAAACAAAATGGGTTTGTGAAGCTGCCAAGAGTTTCAGAGATTTCCACCAGTTCGTCCCCAAAAGCTGAAAAGCTGCCGGGCAACCCGAAAGTTTGTTCCAAACCCAAGAGTTTGAGGGGAGACTTGTTCTAGGTCCTCCAGTAGAAAGGTTGATATAAGGGTACCCTTTTTTCTGTAGGCTATTTAGAAGGGGAACCCTCCCAACCAAAAAAGGGGAGAGAAGGGCACTACTGGGGGACCTCATGTTTCACTTCCCCAAAGAAGGCGTAGAGCTGCCGGGAGCTTCCCTTGGCATCGGCCCTTCGAAGCCATCGCCTCCTCTTTGGCCTTGGCGTTGGGCACCAGGCCCGTCTGCAGGGAGTTCTGCAGGGAGTTGCCTCGAAGGCTGGTATGTGTTTGTTGTGTTTTTTTGTAACATGTTTCTTTGAAAAAGAAGTATTGATAGAGCAAACAACACCTGTTGTTACTTTATGTTATAAAAGAAGGAATGGTTCGGATCATTTGAAGGGTCAATGGGTGAGCTCGCCTTTTTTACTCCCGAATCGTTGAGCTGGTCAGAACTTGTCCAAACAATCTACAAGGCCTAAATCATCAGGCTGGAATTGTACAGGGCCATGAATATTGGAGCAACATGTTTGCAATTCGTTAGTGTCTTATCCTCTGGTGACATAGGGAAGCCCCTCTCCCTGCAAAACGGGTCAAAAACAAAAGCATAGCCAGCTCTCTAGGGAATGCACGCATCTAAGGGAGGAATTCAAGGCCACAAAACGGGTACCCTCAAAAACGACACACCCATGGTTTCAAAGTGAAGGTCATGCCACAATGTTACCCAAAGCAAATCTCAATCCCGCAAGCTCACGAGGGGGGTAGAGGAAGGATGCGATATTCAAAGAAATGGAACAGTTACCTCTGTAACCGGAGTCTCTAAACTACCCTCTCTCCAACACTACTTAACTAATCGTGGAAGCTGGCAATTCAGAGGGCTTTGGAAGACACAAGTGGCCACGTCGGTAGTGAGAAGATACATGGCCATGGGTCAAAATCCCGTACCCCCAGTGAACATCCCAATCCCAACTAAAATAGGTTCTAAAATGGGTGGTGAATTCACCTACGCCAAGATGGTACCATTGGTTTTGACCCACGGCCAGATCCTTCCCAGACACCTTCCTGGGTTCTCGCCCCAAAAGCCACTCGCGCCTATCCATGCGGGAGCTGTGGCGAGGGACTTCTCATCTTCCACACCTCAGAGCCGAGGTCATATCTGACAGCTTCGCCCAAAGACGTGGACATGCCAAATGCCCCAAAAAGATACCCTGACTCCCACTAGGATAGCAGCTGACAGGGAAATGGTCCCTACACGAGGAAATCTATCTTCCAGGGACCCACAGGTTCCATGTTAGTTGGAGGGAGGAGAAATGAGGATTCTTCCTGGCTCAAGGATTCTTGGATTCTTGGATTCCCGGTTGTCCGGAGAGAGGTTCACCAGGGCAATGAAGGGTGTCCAAGAACATGTTGACATCCCACGTCACTCTATCCATGCGAAGGCATCTGTGGACCAAAGCGCACCTTGCGGAGAAAAACATGAACCACACTGCGTGGCTCAAAGTCTGGAGAGCCCAAAATGGCTGGCTTCCAAACTTTGGAGAACCTCATTGAGTTCTTCAAAGGCCAGGTTGGGGGTTGCTTTCCTTTCATTTGCCTGTGACAGCGATCCTCAGAGTGTATGACGAGGCGGCTATCTACGGGGTGAGCATGCCGTTTTCCCACAAGATGGCTCAAGATGGTCATCTCATCTCTCATTGAAACGCCTTTGTCAGCTTGAAACACATATTACAAGGCATACAGGCGATTTAATTTGACCCACTCAACATCACACTGAAGCATTTCGGGGTGCTGCCAATCACACTTAGACGCACAAACAAGTTAACTTGTTTCCGGTTAAAATTAGCAAGGAAGGGATTGGTGGGAGAGCCAAAGCGGAAGTGAAAACGATAAGCCAAGCCTGGCACTAAAGTGGGGTGGCTACTCATTCGCCGTGTCTTTGCTCCCATCCTGCCAGACGCACAAATGGCTGCGGGCTGATTTCTGGTTGCATTCGAAGTGCCAGGGGTGTCGAACTGAATGAAGGTGTTGTGAACCGGGATGTCCTGGCGGTCTCGGTGCCCAGTCTTGTAGAAGAGCAACCAATGGGTGGTTAGAAGCGTAGATTCTGTTTTGGAATCCGCTTCATGACATGAACAACACACCGCATGTTGACTAAATTGCCACTAAACTACGGGGACTACCGACTCGTTGCACTGAGATGCGCAGATCTTTGAAGCTTTCTGCTCATACTTCAAGCATCAAAACCTGGCGCGGTCGCAAAAGGTTGACTTCTGCAGACGGCGAACTCCTGCAGACTGAGCATTTTGAGTGCCGCTGATACTCTGGATCTGCGGTTTGCTCTAAGAGGCGACCTTGCAAATGCCATGTGTGTTTCCAAGAACCAGGGTGTACGAGCACGGTGCGCAGAGTACGCGAAACATTAGGCGCCAAGTCTGGTTGAAAAGTGCCAGCTCTCGCAGTGCAGAAGAAAAATCGGGGTTAACCTTTTCCTCGAAGGCTTGCAACCGAATGACTTCCAACAAGGGAATTGTGGGCCCCAACTATTCCAAGGGAGCCAAACCCCTCTTTCGCCCTCGTTCAAGGTGCTCCAACTGATCCTTGGGCTGCGACAAGAACAATCATCTGCATTTCCATCTGGGATTCCCGAGCTTGGATTCTTTTGGAAGAGCATTTTCGAAGCTCAGTCGCAGGACCCTCTCTGAATTGTTTGCACAACTACCAGTGGCCATGTTGATCTAAAACTCAACAAGACAAGAAGAAAACTATGGGACAAAATGGGCACCTGTTCCACGGCTCAGATGCCCAGTGGTCATGGGGAAAAAAGACAAATGACATCCTTTTTTGGTTGGTTGAGTTTGAAGGAACCGGAACCCTTCCTAAAAAAAGTTGAAAAAAGGGGCGGAATCCACTGGGAAAGTGGGAAGGGTACTTGAATTCATCGGGTGAAGGCCGGGACTGAAGTGCATCCGACAGTCCCGGACGGCGGCAACCGGACATATCACTCTACCCTCCCTCATGGTACCCCTGAGGAAGTTTCTTGGACAAATTGCGCTTAGGGGCACCTGGCGGTTTCCGTATTCGAACTCAGGTCACTGCCTTGCTCATCCAATACCTGCTTGAAATGCCCAACTCAGAATCTGTTTCAATATCATAGTCCAGCCCAAGCATGAGCAGCTTGTTCTGAATCGTTTGGACCAAAGACTTCATGCAGCTCAAAACGAAGGAAGCTCAGTTTGGGCGACCGCCTCTGCTCATATTTGGCAATTGGTAGCCCCCCCAACCCCTACGCCCTACTTGCCGCCTGCCTGCTTCAATTTGTCCACCCGGCAAATTAGTTCCTGCAATTTCCTCTTGGTTTTCCTTTGGAACACCCAGCAACCACCCCCAACCAGCACCTCTTCAACCTTATGTGGCCTTGTTTGGCCGCAAGTATGCCCTTGTCTTGCCTTAGCAAGTCTTGGTCCCCCTTTGGGCAAGTGCCCAGAGTTCGCAAACCAGGAATACGTACTCCACAACTGAAGGACCTTCGGCATGGGTGAGCTCGTCTTCCCCCCCCACTGAGACCGTCAGATTTTCCATCCACCCTGGAAACCGTATCTCTGCTCATGTTACTCCCGGCTCCGTGGCGAACGGAACATGTCTCGCCTCCTTCGAGAAGAAGGCGTCTGGCAGAGGCGCGGGCCTCTCCTTCCTGGGCCTCGGACGTCAGTTTTTTTTGAGGTCGGCTTTTGCGTAGGGTTTCCGGGTTTTGGTGTTAAGGAAATTTGAAGGGGACCACCAGTTTGGGGCCCCATTTTAACACATGCAGATGCAGGTCTGGGGTTGGTGTGTTTTCTTGAGGGTCCCCTTTCAGGTTTGGTTTGAAGGCCACCCGAAAGGAAAACCACCATTCTGTTTTTTGCCGCGTAAATCTCGCACCTCTCCCAATGACATGGTGTTCAAGTTCTCCTTTTGGCCACTGATGGCCGTCCATGAACGGAATCACAGCGGCTTGCGCTTAACAGCTGCTCACGACGGGGCCCCAGAGCCACTCCCAGCAGGTAAATTTTCACGGGAAGTATGCAGGGTCTTCATTGGCAGCCGCTCACACACTTCCCCCCACACACACACACACACTTGTAGTACTTCTCAAAAGGAAAGAAATTAACTTCGTCTGGATCTCTTTGACATACCTTTCGAAGCATGGGATTCGCGCGTAGCCGCCCAAGTTCATGCGACAAGCAAGGTCTGGTGAGTCAAAGCACACCTTGGAGGCAACACAAGTCGAGCAACAGCGAGAACAGCATCACTTTCTCCGATTGGGGAACCAACGGCTGAAATCACACATTTCACTGCAGGTGCACGTGGGTGATCAGCCCATGCTTCCCGCACCATACCATAGCTTGGGTGAGCCTGATGCCTGGTAACAAACCGAAAGCTGTGGTCGCTAACCCTCAGCGCTCGATTGTTTTGTTTTGCTGGGGGGTCCAAACCAACCAACGTCGTCGAACTGTTCACATCCGAGAAAACAAAAAAAAACCAACAAAAAGGAGCCCTGTCAAACGTGTTGACATATCCAATTGCACGGCCTCGCCGCTCCAATGAAAAACGGACAGGTGTGAGCATCAGACCTTCTGTTTTGAGTGGGACTCCGAAACCAACCAACGTCGTAGAACTGTTCAAATCAAGAAGAAGAAAAAAAAAGGAAGGGCCCGTCAAATGTCTTTGCAACCGGACGTACAGACACACACACACACACCCGCCTACACACGCACACATCCGGGCCTCAGGAGGTTGCGGTTTCCCTTTGAAACCATCCCCAAGAAAGGGCATGGACGTGATTTTCCCCAACGAAAAAGGCCTCCAGCACTGTCAACCACCCGAGCCCGGACAAGACCACCAATGTTTTTTCCAGGCGATGGGGGAATTGGGTGGGTCCAGCCCCTGGGGAATGAAAACTATTGATCCCTATTCTTCTTAACCATGGCTCTCTTTTCAAAAACATCCCTGGCAAGAATGGAGAAGTTACTACTAGAAATCACATGGAGGACAAGAAGAAAACGGAACGCAAAGTGTTGACTAGACCGGTATGCAAATTATAACCACAAGCAGCCTACGCAAAGCGATACCTTGGAAACTTGTCTGTGGCTTATTTGTGTAAGAGTTTCCTCCATTCCAACTGTCCCAGCTGGTGCAAAATGGATTTTGCCCATGCACAGGACCGAAGAACATAATTGAGGCTCAGGCATGCCGCCTGTGCGCGGGCTTGGGTTAGGACTGCGGTGCAGGGTTGCTCTTCTCAGCACGGGCATGGGAAAGTTGAGCCAAGAAAGAAGAAAACCACAAGCCCATGTTGTGCCGGGGGGGGGTGAATTACCTCGAGCTTGAAGGAAACAAGAGGGTCCAATACACATGTCCCACCCTTGTTGTTTTGGTCATTGTCTTGAGGTTCGGAGCAACCGCGTTGTGCTGGAAGTGCGCCCAAGTGCACTGACGAAACCCCGTCTGGTGTTTTTTTCGTTTCAAACTGGGTATGCCAACCGTTTGGATGCTTGTAGAAGGGAAGCCAGAAACACACATATCAGGCATATCAACAAACTGGAGGAGGCCCTCATCTTGCGAAATTCGCCCATTTTGCCCATTTTGGACAAACGTTCTACCTAGCGAGGAGGTCACATTCCTCGGTTGCCTTCTGCTCCCCTGCTAAGAGTTTAACTTTTAGCGGCTTCATGGAAAACCCATTAGTTGGCAAAAAATTAAAGTCCTAACATCCAAGCAAAATGCCGCAAAGCTTCGGTCTAGAGGCTCCAAAAAATGTATCCTTGGGAGTGTAGCGGTGTTTGATTCCTTGACACCCGATCTTTCACCTTTTCCTAGTGTTGAGTTGCTTGAGGTTTTGTGCCTTGGGTGAAGAATCAAGCGTTTTCAAGGTGTTCAAATGGGCCAAAGTGCCCAGCCCAAAGCCCACAGCCAGATGTTCCACGGATTCCTGCCCTCGTCTTTGTTTGTCAGATTGTCGGAGAGCACCCCTTATAAAGAACTGCTTGCAACTGCTCCCCAATGCTTAGTGTCAACTTCCGATTGGTCCGGAGGCTCATCAGGTCTGGCTCCCTTGGCAAAACTTGGCGTAACTCGGACAAACTTTGCAAACTTAAACGTAACTTGGCGAAACTTCGTGAAACTTGGCGAAGCTTGGCGAAACTCGGCGCAACTTGGCAAAACTCGGCGAAACTCGGCGTAACTTGGTGAAACTTGGCGAAACTCGGCGTAACTTGGCGAAACTCGGCGTAACTTGGCGAAACTCGGCGTAACTTGGCGAAACTTGCTTGGCGTAACGCGCTCTCCGAAAGAAGGAAGAAGTGTGTTTTTCCCCACCCGACAGGGGGTTGGTAGACGTTTGCAATGCTTCTACACCACGCCCCCACCCAGTATCCCGCCAGAGCTGCTCGCCAGTGGATCCTGCCAAGTATCCCGCCAGCGGCTCGCCAGTGCATCCCGCCGAGCATCCCGCTGAGTATCCCAGAGTAGCTCGCCAGTGGATCGCGCCAAGTATCCCGCTGGGTATCCCTTGCCGGTGGATCTTGCCGAGTATCCGGCCAGTATCGAGCCGGAGCGGCTCGCCAGTATTTGCCAGTGGATCCCGCCAGTATCCCGCCAGAGCAGCTCGCCAGTCTGGTTTTGCTTAATGTCCCGCCCGGCACACAGTTGGGTTTACATTTGGGCTGCGAATAAGCAACTTCGTTTAATCCCCTGTCGGGTTTGTTTTTGGAAGGGGCTTGGCTTTTGTTAACGGAACCGATGTTTGAGTTCTCGAGATCGGCTCGCAGACAAGTGGAGTTTGACACACAGACAGTCTCGATGCAAAGCTTGTTGAGCAGTCATAGGCCCCAAGCCACTCGAAAACCATGCTTGAATTCACACAACCGTATTCACGGTCGTAAGCTCGTGAGTGTGGAGGGTGGGGATTGCTCGAAGCGAAGGACTTTTTCGCTTTTTTTCTCGCGAAACAAGCGCTCTTCGTTGCGACTCTGGCAAAAACAAGTGTTCTGCACCAGTGAGAATTGACTTCTTGCGAAACTTGGCGAAACTTGGCGATCATTCTGGTCACTTGGCATCCCTCGCTGGGGTCACGCGTCACGTGTCACGTGTCATGTGTCATGCCGTGACGACGTCATGCCATGCCAGCGGGCCGTGTTTTGTGTTTTCCCATTGACAGCTTGTGATGTCCGGCTTGGATCGCATGCCCTCCGGAACTCCAATGTGAGGATCTCCTTCAGGGCTTCACTGCATGCTAACATGACAATGAGCAAAAGGTCTAACCTAGTGTTGGTTTAGTGGAATATTATTCATTAGTTTGAGAAAGGTCTACATGGCTAAGCCCCCACAAAAGTACTGTCACGTTCAAATGCTTTGGACTTTTCAAGAAGTGTTTTGCACGCTTCCGTGGCCCGCAAAGGTTGAAAGCACTTCTTTTATTCTACTTTCCCAGAAATAAGTGCAACGGCCTGCCAAGCAACTTAACATCTCCTAGCCAATCGGATGACAGAGATGCAAACCAAACATCACCTGTTCAGCAGGCAAGCCTCCAAATCAAGCAGCTAGCGTTCGGGAGCACACACACACACACACACATGCGAGCACACAACACAACAAGCACATGGCCGTATTTTGCCTTTGGGTAAGTCCTGATAGTCCCCCAACCCGAAGCCAAGCATTCACGACCCGGCAACCTCAGACGCCAGAAAGCAAGGGCCACTATACAGGCTAAAGCATCCGATCGCCTGAACAACGCTGGAGCCAAGGGAAGGGTGCCCTTCAAGTCACTTTTGCATGCGAGATACTTCACCAACCTGAGATGATGGTAACTTTGGATTCGTCTCAAGGACGCTACTAGTCAGAGGAATTGTCGAAAAAAGATGTGACTGGCAAAAACAACCACCCCTTTTGATCCTCCGGACAAATCCGAAAATAAGAAGGAAAACAGAAAACAAAACACAAACTAAAAGGAATGGTGGTTTGTCCCTAGTAAAAACTTACTAAATCAAGAACAAGAACAACCCTACTGGTTCCCACAAGGAGCCTTCGTGCCAGTGAGGCACCTTTGGGTCTCGCCTGCGGGTCTCCGATGGCAGCTCGGCTTAGCGAAGAACACGCACCATGAGCCTTGAATTCGCTTCTTGGGCGAGGCCCAACGCGCGGGAGGTGTTGGGCATTGTTTTTCTTTCTTTTTCTCCGGCATTCCCATGCGAAAAGCCCCAGCTTGCAAGGGAGCGAGGCTTGGGGCCACGAAAGAACATGCCACGCCAAGCTGGAAGTGAGGGATTAAACTTGCCATACTCGCTGTGAATATTTGCTGGGTTTAGTTTATTGGCATCTGGACCAAGTCAACACTGTTGTGGAAGGTTTCCACATTCCTGCCAGAATGATCTTGAACAAGTCGACGTGTTGGTGATGGTGTTGGTGGTGGTGGCGGCGGCTGCATTGGTGGGATGAACGCCAAAGCAGGATTGCACAAACGCTTGCATCGTCTTGCGTATTGCAGATGGGGTACACTGAACAAACTTCCCTTCTTCCGTGGTCCATCGTCATCGTGTCCCACGTTACATGAGAACCTGATGGAGTGAACCCCCGCACACCTCGTATCTTGGTGAGTGTACCCCATGTCACACAATTTACACCGAACACGGCGGTGCCGTTGCTCGGGGGACAAAGCCAGTTGCTCAAATGGGCAAAGAATGTGCACGCACAGTACACGAGAATTGCAGGATATTGCACGTCTCCAGTCATGATGATCGGTCGACACGAGCCCCGGATTCAGATTGGTCTGACAGAATCCATACTGTTCATCCCCAAAAATGCATTGGCTCAACAAGGCCCTAGAATCACTGCCTGGGCGTTGCAAGATTGTTTTAGAGTACTGCTCTCTTAGTTCAGATTTCACGTCCCAAACCTCCAGTGGACCTTGAAGGGAACCTCCTCAAGTTCTTTGCGAGTCAGCGCCCATCCCCATAAACGACCGACCCACTCTGGCAACTGAGGAGCGACCAGCAGGCGTGCGAAAGGGCTCCTCAAGAACTGCAAAGTTGCTGAGGTGAATCCTAATGCGTTGCGAACACTTGCTTGACCGAGTCGCTGACAGCCTTCATTTCACCACTCTGATCTTTGAGCAAAGCAGCGGGCGGCGCTTTTTGAGGTTTCAAGCAACCTCAGCCTGCCTCGATACAAAGGGGTGCAATTTACCGGCGGGGCGGGCGGCGGGGTGCACTGAAACTGCCAGTTTGGGATGCTGCGTCCATGAGAAGCGGCAATGCCTTGCAACACAGGTCGCTTTTGAAGAGATCAGAACAGATCAGAAGGCGAATTTCAATCTGCACCAATCACTTGCCTTCAGCAACATGAGTTAAGCGATCCACTACTAGAACTACCTTCATCAGTAGCAAGCTCATTTTACCCCCCCATACTCAGTGAAAATTCAATGCCTGCTTTGCGGCCATAGGCGCCATAGGTGGCTCTACCAAGTCGCGCCGCGTTTTGCACCCCAGCGGATATGCTTGCCGTGCCCAGCATCCGGTCGAGTATCTCGATTGCTGGCCTTTAAGCAGCGCCCAAAACCCATTCACGCTTGGTTCCACTAAGTTGGTACACCCCATTATATAGCCCGTACTACGATTTATTAGGTAGCAGAATCCGCTTTCACAACGGACAACGCAGTTCTGGGCGCTGCTAATTGTTGCATCGCGCATCGCTACGCCAGCGCAAACATGACATATTGAAGGCACTCCATTCAAAAGATAGCTGCGCCTAGGTCAGGCTTTTTGTGGCAATCAATTCTTCGAAAGTTGGACAATTGCCTTTTTCGTTCAGCCCTTCTCCAACAAACATAGGAAGGTAGCCTAAGCTCATCGATTTTCCACCCTGGGCTTAGTTTCGTCCAAACGGTGGCTTGGTTCATGTTTCCTGTCAGAAACCAAGCAACAAGGGAGAGTCCGTAACTTCGGGCAACAAGCAAAAAGCTGTGGCTCCGGTCACCTTATCCCCATGCAGTTTCCGCAAGCGGTTCAACCCGAATCAACCCCAAACAAGAAGCAGTGAAGTCACACACCAAAAGTCTAACTTGAATTCTAATTTCAGAGGTAGTACCACTGGTGCCACTTGCTATTTGGGCCTGTCTTTGTTGAGGGTTCCCCTTTGTTGTGGTTTCAAAAGGAAACCAAGAGGAAAGCCACCCATTTTGGGATCCCCTGCAAAAGACACATCTGTTTTCCCAACAAGCAAATGCCTTTCGATTGAAGTTTTCGCGAGCTCAGTCGCGCAGCGATGGGGAAGTCGGCGGGACCTGGTTCGCATTTCGTTGGGCCAGGGAACCTGCTGTCCAATCCTTCAGAGCCATCGGGAAGCAGCAGACAGCGCAGCAGTTTAAAAGTGGGGGGGAGAGCCATAGGAGGATGTTGGATGGGGAATTGCTTTCCTTCTATGACCTGTTTTGGATGTATCGGAATGAAAACGGTCTACGGGCTGATTCCCCATTTGCTTCACCCTTGCTTCTCTTCAGAAACCACTCATTTTCCAGGGTTTCGCCTCATCTTCTGAAGACACAAATCCCTGAACAGAAGGGGCAGGGGACGGCTACAAACAGAGGCAAATCTCGATTTGATAAGTTTCACAGATCGGTGCAGTCTGCTCTTTCTCTGGTTGCTTTGTAAGGCATCTAAGATGGTTTCCAGCCCCAAAACACCGTTCCAAGAAACATGGGGATTCTGAGAGTGGTGTAGAAGGAAACCTCATGGTTTGCATCCTCCTTGAGCCAGTGTACTGATATGGTTTGAACATGGCCTTCCATGGCACAAGCGGCCCGCTTGGACACAAGCGGACTGATTAATTTTCTGGACATGCCTGCGCAAAAATGCGGAGGGCCTTCCTCGATTGCCCTTGTAACGACGAGGGGACATTGTATGGGGAAGGGTCCGTTGGGGATACCGGCCCTTCCATAATTACATTGCTACGGGGTGAGGAATGTGATGTTAATGGCGTGATTGCCAAGAACGTCTTGCCTTGAAAAACCCAACCATGGTCTCTTGTCCTACAATAGCTATTGTTTCTTGCTTCTCTAAACAACAACAAGTGTCCAATAATTCCGGCCGCTGCGTGCGGTACTTTGGTTCAGGGCACATGCGAATGACAAAATTACATCTAAGCCAGAATCATTTGCCGGTTGATCCAAGCACAAGGGCCTTATGTCCAGGACCTTCTTCTTCTTCTGCTTCTTCTTCTTGTGTTCTTCACTTTCCAGGGTCAAGTGGATGAATTTGAGGCAAGTTTCAGGACATGCAAAACCAGGCTGGTTTGGTCATCCCCTTTACTTGTTGTAGGGAATGACCTTCCCGGTCTTGGGAATAAACCTAACAAATCCCTCAGAAGAAAATAGAGAAAATTGCTCTTTGATGGGGTCATTCCATTTCTCCATTCCCGGAGAACCAGCAAGTTTACCCACATCAACTCAGATGCCCAGCGGCCATGCGAGAAAAAGGGCATCCCTTTTTGGTTGGTTGAGTTTAAAGGGGAACCCTTCCCACAAAATGGACTAGGTCCTCCAGTGGAGTGATTAGAATAAGGGTACCCTTTCTTCTGTAGTCTATTTTAGTAGGGGAACCCTCCCCAAAAAAAACCGGAAAAAAAAGGCACTACTGGGGACCTAGTGGAAACAAGGGGCGTAATCCACTGGGCAAGTTTACATCAAGAAACGCCATCTGCTTTCACCCCTTCCGGGTCTCGCCTTGAGGGCCCGCAGCTTCACCGCGGCGGTCATGGGGGTGCGAGGCGTCAAGGGCGTCAGGCCTGAGGGAAAGCTGGTGGAGTGCTTTGCTTCAAACAACCTGGCTGCGAATAGCAACCAAGAGGAATCCATGTCTGAACCCACTTCTCTGGCATCTGTCTGATGACCTTGTCAATCTCAAACCTGCACTGGTGCGCACTTCATGCATGTCACTTGGGAAGTTGGGGTAGGTTGGTTAACTTTGTGACTTTGACCCCCCAAAAAACATATGTTGGACCAGAACTGAACAGTAGGGGGCATTGCCCCCCTTTGAGAAGTTGCCAACCTCACGCTTGGAAGGGAAACCACTGACTTTGCCTTAAGCAACTTGGAGACCCCACGTAAAATGGCTAGGCTGTTCAGAATGGATGGCCAATCCCTGCTCCAGAAAATGACTGGACAGGGGACTTGCACAAGCCAAAGCAAGGAAGGATCGCCTTTCAACAACCCAGAAATGATGGTACACCCTCCAAATGCCAAGAACCAAAAAGCTCCATTTGGGTGCGTCTTTTGTTTGGGAGGTCCCCTAAAATGGCGGCTTTCCTTTCTGTGTTCCTTTGAAACCGACTGCCTTTCCCATTTTGTGCCACGAATCCCGGCCTGGGCCCGGGGAGAGGCCGGGGGACAAGCCCGGGGTGGGCTCCAGCTCGTAGCTGGCCGACACGTGCTGCACCTGCGGTGGAATGAACCCAGGCGTTTGGTCCCCTGAAAGGAAACCACCAAGTTGGATGCTTTTTTTGGGGTGGTTCCATCATTCCCTGAGCAACAGCAAGGAAACCCTGGAAGGAGTCGATTCCTCGGCAAATACCAACAAACAGTGGCTTCAACCATGGTTTCATTGCGTGGTGCGAACAGATTTCGTCCATCCACAGTACGTCGCCCCTTTACACATCACCCCACAAACTCGCGTTGCAAGGCCCTTCACCATCAAGCGGACTTGGGAATCCCTTGTCCAACAAATGAGAGCTTCTCAAAATAGGGGATCAAACAAATGTGTGGTGTCCTTTTTGGTTTCCCGCAAGAAACACCAGCCAAAACGGGTCCATGTTCAGACCCCCCCCCCAAAATGAGTTCCTTTCGGATGCCACACATTTCCCTTTGGTGCCAGCGATCGGAACATCCAACCAGTCGCGTTTTCATGATGCCCCCGCCAGCTCAGCGTCTTTTGCCAGGGTTCTCGGTTCTTGTTTGGGTTGGCGTCAAGGTTGGACATCCTGTGCTTCACCACACGGACCGTGCCTTCCTTTAAAGGTACTGAATGGCGACAAGTTTGAGGGGGCCCGAATTGAGAATCGGACAGTTTGAGTGCCTGCCTGAAGTATCAGGCACAAGTGGTCCACTCCAATCAGCTTGTCACATTCCAGGGTTCCAAAAGACACACACACACATCCTCCTACATCAGTTGGTACATGTGATGTTCAACATGGCAAAAATATGTGTTCCTTTTACCGACCCGTCGGACAAATAGATGGCACTGGTAGATGATGAACTGGAATCAAACTGGCACCAGCGCCATGCAGTTTCAAGCAAACAGTTCCAACAAAAGGACACGCATGGACCCTGCAGTCCCCCAGCTAGAGCCTCGTGCAGTGTCCGGATGTGACCCTTGAGAAGGTCCATCGTCTTGTCCATGAGCGCACAGGACCGCTCCAAAGTGGACACCTTCACAACTCGACGCACACAAGGAGCCGGGGGGGGGTGTCTGTCCTCTCAAAATCCGGGGGAAAATAAATGCTAAAGCAGTTTGGGATCTTGTGGACCGCCAAGAAGACTTGCCAAGGTCCCAAGGTTCTCTCAGTTGGATTTAGTGCTCCAACGAGGCCAGAAAGTGGCCAAAGGAAAACAGGAGGATCCCTATACCATTTTTTTGTTCACCCATGTTTGAGACGGTGGCAACAGGTCCGTTCACAAAGTCAGTTGCTACTTCCTGGTAGGAAAGATGGTTGACGTGGAGGAAAGGGGAAACAGTGAATCATCCAAAGCCGAAACCAAGCCAGCATCATTCAACCAGACCCGCAACTGTCTATATCTCAATCTCGCTAACTCTATCTATTCATACACAATGTACAATTGCATTACGAACACTAATGTTACAAACACGTGAATTCAGAGGCTATACTACATAAGCACATAACTGTATAACATATTGTGGAAGTCTCATCATGGTTTACCCCCCTCAAATGAATGGTTCCCTTTGGATCCCCTTGGCATCCCTTTCAAACATCCCAATGAAAGTGGTACCCTCAAACAAAAACAATACTACTTGGTATATGCCCTTCGCAGTTGCTTCCGCGCATCGATTCCCTGCCTGCAGCTTCCCATTGTCCTGCGTGTCCTCGCCGAGATTCCGTGGCGATTTTGGGCCGCCCTCCATTGTTCTTTTCCGAAAGCCGGTCGACCCATGAAGACTCTGGTTGTTCCACAGGAGGGGTCTGAAGTCTGACAGGAACTGCTTAGTGAAAATGCCAACCTTTCGGATAGCCAAGGGAACCCCCATAGGATATCAGCCCACCTGACACAAGCTCTATGGAAGACCAACAGCGACTGAACCTCTCCTGGGTAAGGAACTGGAAGTACATGTCCGAAGACCTGGCGCCGTGCGCTTAGGGCAGCGCGAAGCGCTGGCATCGCGAGATTGCGCCGGCAATTATGGGGTCGAACAGATGTTGCCCATACTGCCCATGCCGCCTTGTGCCGCCCTGTAGTGGGAGTACAAAAACAAAGGCTCTCAATTTTGACGATGCCCCGCATGATAAGAACATATAAGAACCCCTTGCTGTTGGATTTTGAGGATGCCCCGAATGATAAGAACCCCTTGCTGGTGGAGCAAGATAATATATTGTCACCACCAAATAGTCATCAGTGGCAGCAACCATGATCGCGCACCTAACCTATCAAATGACGCAACCACCTCAGCGTTTGCCCTCAACCCAAAGCTCGCATGTTTGACTCTGGTTGGGATTTGTGAAGCTTATAAAAGTTGGTTCCTTCAAAAGATCTTCTAATGCACATGAAACACCCCCCAAGCTGCCACAAAGCACCATGAACTCACCGGTGTGTCTTAAAAGGACCGAGATGCCCGAGCCTTTCCCTTTGTTTTCCCTAGGGCCGACTGTGGACACCTCAGAAACCCTGGAAAGATGACTCCCCTGTAAATTGCCTGTAAATACCATGACTCCCCCGTAAACCCTGGAAAGTCGACTCCACAAACAATGGTTTCAACCATAGTTTCATTTCGTAGTGACGGATTCCGTCGATCACCCTACCCGCCTGAGTTGGCCCCGGGCGACCGCATGGTCGTAGCTGGCCGTCTCGAACTCCTGAAGCACCCGCCTGGCCAAGCCGATGTCCGAAAGTGGGGACTGCTTCCTTGGGTGCGCTAGGTGGGGAATGGCCCAGGTTGGGAATGAACCTAGGGTTAACCGGTTAACCCTTCAAGGAAACCATGGAAGGGGGATTGCAAAGGCCTGCATCAGGGGGCACACTCATTTGAAAAGGGGGGTTGGTGCCCTTGGAATTGTTGGAGACCCCCATTTTTTCGCGAGAAGGTCCAGCCCGCCAGGTCAAACTGAAAACACATGTAGGCAAAGCGAGCCCTGTTGGACCTGTTCTGTGACAGCCAGAAAGGATCCAACAGTTTGACACCGAAAACGAGTTTCACTCAGACAGCGACAAAGCAACATAAAAATGGGTTATGACATGTGGGCCCTTTTGGCGGAGGTCGGCTACACGGTGACGTTGTCCTTTCCCTCACCGTTTTGGATGGTAGTTTAACTATCAACAAGTCATGTCTGACCCCAACTTCCAGACCTCCAAGACAAAGCACACCTCTTTTGGCAATTGACTTTAGAGGGACGCCCTCCCAAGAAGGAAAAGAGCACATCACTGGGAGTTGGGCCTCTTGCCGCTGTCTCGCCAAAACGTGTGAAGTCAACCTGAGGTTCGGTGAAATGGGCGAGCCCGTTTTGAGGGTATCCTTTTTTAGCATGGTCTCGATAGAGGGAAACCAAAGGGAAACCATTCCCTTTCCTCCCGCCTTGTTAGCTGGCTGGGGAAAGACCGTGAACCGCACACCAATAAAATTATGGGTCCCAGACATAGGCCGAGGTGCGTCTGACCTTCACCCCCCTTCGGGCGACCGGCGACGGAAACTGCGCGCCTGGACAGATCCTCGCCCTCTTTTCTGAGAGCACGAGCCTCCGCCACCTTCTTGGCCCACTCCTGAGGCGGGTCACCGTCGCGCTGTCGTGCTGTCAACCTGGTATTGGCTCAATCTTTGGGTCAATGCTTTGTCTCAGCTGCCACATTGAATGGCCGTCCAAGGTCCACTGGACCACTTCTACAGTGCAAGCACTGTAGAAGAAATCATTGTATAAGAAATTGAGGGCCAAATCAAGCAAGTTGCAACTGCATTTGCTGCTAAGAAATTGAGCCCCCCCTGGATTTTTCACCAAATTTCTTGCCCAACTTGTTGCTTGCGCGAGGAAGAAAACCACCTCCGCACGCCAAGAATTGAACCAATGATTCCTGGTTTCCGAGGTGCGGGAGTGGCACCGCGCACCAGCTGGGCCTTGGATTTCTTAGCGGCCTTCTCGGGTGATGAAGGGTTCCTTGCCGGCCTTTTTGGGTGATGAAGGGCTCCTTTGCTAAGAAATCCAGGGGCTGGATTTCTTAGCGGCCTTTTCGGCTAATGAAGGGCTCCTTGGCTAAGAAATCCAGGGAATGGATTTCTTAGCGGCCTTTTCGGGCGATGAAGGACTCCTTTGCTAAGAAATTCAGGACTTCATTCCCCTAAAAAAAGACAAGCTTAAGAAGTTGGCTAAGAAATCCAGCCCCCCTGGCTCCAGAGGGGTAGAAACCAGCTCTTTTAAAGACGAAATGGACGCTAAGAAATTCAGTCCCTCTGGGCCTCGACCAACCGATTTCTTATACAGCGCTCGCGCTGTAGTTGAACTGTGCATGGGTAATGGCGCACACGCATAGAACATGCGTTTGTATATCACGCATGTGCATGTGAAACACTACGTGCTTTGCCTTTCGTTACAAGATCCTGGCCTTGGGGCGTTGCCACGTAGGGACAAACACGGCAAGATCTTGCCAACTTAGCTGCCGATAAGGCTTCAAAACTCAGCCTCCTGAGACAAATGAACAGCGGATGCTGACCTGGGCTTCCTGGCCAGAACAAACAATCAACATGTCGGGCCTTCACCAAAATCATAAAGACACCTGCATCAAACAGTGTCAAGTTTGCCAACTCGGGACCCCTCTGAACGGCAAGGTGTTAATGTCGCTTCGCTACAAGCCGAAAGGCTTGAACTCGTTTCACCCGTACCAAACCTGTCCTTGATTTGACGGCTCGGTTAGAAGTAATTTCGACAGTTCGCATCAGAAGACCAGGGTTCCTTCACCTTGAAGCACCACCCCACCAAACGTGACATCCTCTAAATTGTCTTCTAACTGTCGATGGAAAAGGACCCCACCCCACTCAAAAAAAAAAAAAAAAAACAATTAATAGTATGTTTGTAACCCTTCAAAAGTTTCTCTCAACCCCCCAAAAGAGGGCCGAAAACCAAAAGCGCCAGACACCCCCCTCCAGTCGGCCGGTCTCCTCTTGGACCTTCTGCTTCTCTTTGGCCTCCTAGGTTTGGGCCGGGCCCAAGCCAAAGCCTTTGGGGCCAAACGCGGGGTGAATCGGGGCCTCTGGGCTTACTCATCCCTGGAGTGGCGTTCCAAGAAGGGACGTGTGGGCAACGCATCTTCCCAAAGCCCTTGGGGGGAAGTGGGGTGGGACAACAAAAAATCAAAAGTGGAACTATGAAGCTCCAGAAAGAACCGCCGAACCCGCCTCCAGGTAGCCTTCTCCCAACAGGTTTGTCCCAAACTCCCAAACTTCTACTTGTAAGGGGGTTGGGATGTCCCACATCAAAGGGTGCCAAACCGCTTTGCTTTCGGCCTTTTTTGAAGTGCCGATTGACTTTTTGCGGAATGACAAAAAAAAAAACAATGCCCCACTACCACTAGAGGTTTGGGCCTTTCCCAAACAACTCACATTCAAACCGATCAAGTTGGTGGACATTTGGAAACCCCGTTGCAGGAAACCAAAGGGGAAGCGTTTTCCGAGTTGGCTCGATCATCGTCGAAGGCTCTGACCGCCCAGGGTGATAGCCGTCTTGAAACTCTCCGACCGTCCAATTCCGTTATTGTTCGAGTGGGAAAGCAGGAGTTCGCCAAGGGACCGACTATAAATCGTAAACCTGGCAAGGGTTGCTCGCATTCAATTCTTTCACCCTGCACAATTGATCCCAAAAGAAAAACAAGCTGGTCCCGGTTTACCAATTTTTCAACTTTGGCGATTTGGACATCGCTTTGAGGCTCGGAGCAACCCTCAATATCCTGGTGCAACCCTTCGCTGACCTGTTTAACTTGGGTAGAACCCGCCATGAACCTTGTGCCACCCCCTGAAAAAGTTAGGCGCTGCATTTCCGGCCACTCCTTGTGGAGCTGGGTCACCTCACTCTGCAGCCTGGCAATATGTGCTCTTCTCATGTCCATGTCGACCCATGATGACCCATGACCCTCTGATGATATGATCGCTTCCTCAAGAGATATTTTTTTTGCGTTGTACTGCTAGTTTTGAGAAAACTTGGTCCCAATGTCCAAACAAAGCCAACAGTAGACAACGAATGACTTTGTCTACCCTCGATTCGGCGATTCCATGCATACCAACAAATTACCTCTAAAAGGAACAGGAAGGTTATTTCCCAAAGGGTCCTGGGAGCTGCCATGAAATCGCCTGAGGGAGGGTTTTGCCTTTGGGGCACCAATCACTGAGGAACTTCAGGGTCTTCTCATCTCAGCGAAAGATCAGTTGGGCCACGCGGGATTCCATTGTTTGGATTCAATCATGCGACGCATCTGCCAGTTACCATGGACCCTGTCGCTTGACTTGGTGTGCCACCCGGTTGCCCTCTGCCACGTGTGAGACAAGAGGTTGAATGATCGCCAAATTCCTCAAAGTACCCGAGATGCAGACCCTCCACCCAACCAGGCCTCGCTATCTGCTGCTCCAAACTCTCCCCGGGCCGGCCTCCGAGTGGCAAGTGTCAACGTTAAGCTCCGGGAAGTTCGGTGAATGACGCCGCGCAGGCTTCAATTGCGAATGTTCATCACCCCAAAGGTAGGCTTGGTTGCTCTGCCTTGCAATTGGGGCCTTAAGGCGTGAGAGGACTCAACTGAGAAGTGTCCTCTCGGCGGCAGCTTGTTTCCCGTGTGGGAGTGGGTTTTGCAAGGAGTCTGAATCGTCTTTCGAACACCTTGCTGAATCAGTCAGTCAGTCCCCTGATTGCCTCCGAATGTTCTGCAAGTATCGGGAGGCTGATGCTGTCCCTGCAGAACTATCTAAGGTACCACTCAATGCATTGGCTTACGCAAGCCGAGAGTATGACTCGAGACTAGCGGGCCGCCCCCACATGTCCCCAAGGTCTTGGTCATGAGCGATAAAACAGCTCCAGAAATTGTAAATCTATGCGAGGTCTGGAAATCACAAAAACGCAGGCTTCCGCGCCCTCATGCGTCCTTCGCGGGAGTGGAATGTGTTCAAAAAGCTCACCTATGCGTTTGTGTTGCTGAATCCTGTGTTTATAGCCCTTTTGTCGACGGATTTTGTTGGTGGTCGACCCTTCACACACATGCTTTACCTCATGAAGTGTGTGCAGTTTAGAACCGCCCGCTTTATTCATGTGTCCAAGTTCTACACATAATGTATGTATACGAAACACATACACAGACTATACACATTACAAAGCATGAGTAAGACACGGTTGGTTGAATGTCAACACACTATGGTGAAACCCACATACTATGACTATGAAACCCACCCGCCAACATGGAACCTGAAAATTGCCTTCTTGTGGTTTCCATGGGGGGTGGGCACTTGTTTCACCAATGAACCCTTCACTGGCAAACCTTTCGAGACAAAACCTCGGCGCCTTCCCAGCGCGTTGTCTCGGAAGAGTCTTTCTCCTGGTGGGTCGGCACAGTGGAAGGCTGTTCGATGATCCCACGAGTAGGAACCTGGTAACCAAACAAAGGGGACAAGGCCAGTTTTCCATCCTACATTGGTACACTTTGCTCCGTCTTGGTGCAAGATTCTGCACGCATTACAAAAAGAACAAGATAGAACAAGTTACACAGTGTGAAAGTACATGGCACCAGTCCCTGTATATCTCGAAGCAAAAAGGATGATAACCCAAACTGGGGAGGTTTCCGAATGACCTGCTTGAGCACGTAGTCTTCCACAACGCTGTGTGACCCTGGACCAAAAGGAAAAGGGGAACCAGGGCTCGGCAAAGGGAATGCAAAGCCCAAACTCAGTTCAGGGATCAATGAACTCTGGGTTGAATTGGGTGACCCCAAATCGGCTCCTTGATCCTACATGGTCCGCTTTCCGCGAAGCCGCCACCATTTGAACTCGGCTTGATTCCCCATCGTTCTCTCTTTAGAACGCGCCCCAGTTGCCCGAGTTCGTTTCTTTTAGAACCCGCTGAGTGCAGTTCGGGCGCCCTCCCACGCATCCCGCGGCTCCTTCCGCCGCTTCAGGCGCTTCTGCCGCTCCGCGAACTCCTCGAAATCCGCCTCACGCAGAGCGCCGCTGCCGGATGGCTCGTCGTCACCAAAGCAAAGAGACACCGAAGGGCTACAAAAACCCAACCCGTCGAACACTCATTCTTTCCTTGGATGGTTGAAACGGACCTGGCGTGCTTCTCATTCCTTTCCTGGTTGGATGGCTTCCTAAGATTGGTCAACCCCCAAAAAGGAAACATGGTTGGTAGGGGGGGGGCATTGCCTCATCATCTGCTTAGAAGCACCCCTGGTAGCAGACCAATTTTAGGAACTCGCCGAACAAAAAGGATGACCACTGAGCTCTGGGGGGGGGGTCGCAATCAAAACCGATGGGGAAACAATAGAGGCACTGAAATGTAAGATTAGTCGCATGTGTCATAAATCAACACTTGGTACTAAAGGGGTCGCAAACGCCATGGCAAATAATCAAAAGGGCTGATGTCCCTCCCGACTATTTGTGGCTGGGCCCGTCCCGCAACCTTCATCTACCCAGGTTGTAATGGTGGTTCAAGTCTCCGATGGGTCTCGCCCAAAACTACCGCAGCTTTTACCGACGCAATGCAATGCAATGGAGTGGAGTGGAGTGGAGTGGAATGGAATGGAATGGAATGGAATGGAATGGAAGTATGTATGTATGTATGTATGTATGTATGTATGTATGTATGTATGTATGTATGTATGTATGTATGTATGTATGTATATATGTATGTATGCCTGTATGTATGTATGTACGTACGTACGTATCGTATCGTATGTCTGTCTGTCTGTCTGTCTGTCTGTCTGTCTGTCTGTCTGTCTGTCTGTCTGTCTGTCTGTCTGTCTGTCTGTCTGTCTGTCTGTCTGTCTGTCTGTCTGTCTGTCTGTCTGTCTGTCTGTCTGTCTGTCTGTCTGTCTGTCTGTCTGTCTGTCTGTCTGTCTGTCTGTCTGTCTGTCTGTCTGTCTGTCTGTCTGTCTGTCTGTCTGTCTGTATGTATGTATGTATGTATGTATGTATGTATGTGTGTAAGGCATGCCATGGCATGGCATGGCATGGCATGGCATGGCATGGCATGGCATGGCATGGCATTGTATGCCATGTAATGTAATGTAGTGCAGATCAATGCACTGTAATGTAATGTACGGTAATGTAACGTAACGTAATGTAATGTAATGTGTGTTTGCGTGTGCAGGTATGTATCTATGTGGTGTATGTAATGAACTGTTTTGTAATGTGATGTAATGCGATGTGATGTAATGTAATGTAATGTAATGTACTGTGATGCAATGCAAGTTATTGTCGTGTGAATGCAATGCAATGCAAGGTAGTGTATGTATGCTGCGTATGTTGTGTATGGTGTATGGTTTCTGCGTTCTGTATGCCATGTACGCTCTGTGTGTGTAGATGCTATGCATGTCACGTATGTCATGTATGTCATGTATGCCATGCATGTAATGTATGTAATGTATGTAATGTGTAAAGTATGTAATGTGTAAGGTATGTAACGTGTGCAATGTATGCAATGCACGTACTGCAACGTAATGCAACGCAACGCAACGCAATGCAATGCAACGCAATGTAATGTCATGTATGTCTGTATGTTTGTGTAGTTTTGTCTCTGTAGTCTGTCTGTCTGCCTGCCTGCCTGCCTGCCTGCCTGCCTGCCTGTCTGCCGTCTGTCTGTCTGTCTGTCTGTCTGTCTGTCTGTCTGTCTGTCTGTCTGTCTGTCTGTCTGTCTGTCTGTCTGTCTGTCTGTCTGTCTGTCTGTCTGTCTGTCTGTCTGTCTGTCTGTCTGTCTGTCTGCCTTTCTGTCCGTCCGTGTGTCTTTCTGTATGCGTGTATGTATGTATGCGTGGGTCCTGGTACCGTTTTGTCAACCTCAACATGCAAAATCATATCCAAAGAGATCCCTGAGAAGATCTATCCTTCTGCAGGTCTAACGGACCGGACCGTCACGATCTAAGGGGCTGATCCACCAAGGAGCAGCCACATTGAAGTCGAGTTTCTTTGCGAGTGGTCTTTGAAGTGATAAAATGGAGCCCCGAGTGAGATCGGCTCGGAATGGCGCGGATTCGGCTCGAAAGGTGTCTAGGAAAGCGCCGTTCAACAACACCTGCCCTGCCAGACCATGCACGGAAAAGCCAAACTCATTTCAAGGAAACTTCTGCGAAACCGAAAAACATTTCACTACACCCGCGGAGTGTGCGAAAAATCAAGTTGCCAGGGGTTCCCAAAGCCTTCCACTCATCCCCAGACTCCAGTGGCCACCGAGTGAATGAGTTTGCACCTCCCGGCCTTGGCGTTGAATTCCGGGGCAGCCCAGTAGATGGCCTGCGCGGAACAAGACTTGTGATACTGAAGTGGGATCCCCGTTTCCCTTTGCCGACCCTTGCCCCAATCGAATTGTTCCTGCTGGTCACCGCTTGAACATATTACAACTGGGGAAGCAAAAACCCAGATTTCCATCAGATCAACAGGTCGTGTTGCTTCCATGAAGATGTTTGGGTTTTGCTGCGCTCAGTGCATCTGAACTGAGCTTGTTGGAATGCTTAACTGCGAGGATGAGTTCCTGGTGCATGCATACTGGAATTTTGGGCTACTCCGCCAGCACCAATAAGAGTGCGAACTTGTGCTGCGGTGCAAGAACTGGGAGGTCCAGGAGAACTTCAGCATGTGCTTCTCTCCAACTAGTCAGCACAGAAGCTTCAAAAGGTGCGGCAAGCCACCAAACAACTACCGCGTATTCTCAAGTCGCCATGTGCAGCACTTTTGAACTGCTTGATATTGCGGTGAGTGCTCCAAGCACACACACACAGCTAAAATGATTGTTTTTATTCCATGGCTATGCAAACTACAGGTTGTCCGTGGGTGCATGCACTTCTAACCTGTTTTGTGCCTCCACAACACTGAACAAGAGTTGCTCATTCTTCGCGCTCACAAAACACATGCGGCTGCGGAACTCGCCAATTGCCTTATAGTGCTCCTGAGTTGAACACCTCACATTCATTGAGCAGCCCCAGCTGTGGTCGGAAAACAAGCTGGTCAGTCAGTCACAGAACATAAGTTGCAGAGCTTGTTCACAGTATATCTAGGAGAAACGTAATGACTGTGGCGCGTGCTCGTGCTCACATGCGAGGTCCAGCGATGTGAGCGCGGCCGCGGCCGCCAACCGAAACATAAGGGACCGCAAGAGAGGAACCTTCATCACGAGTAATTCAGGCCGCAAACCGGACCCATTGTGCGGTCACGATTCAACCTGCCCAGAACAATCCCAACACCTCATTCAAAGAAACGCGCTGCAGGGAAACACTCACCAAACAAAAGGATTGTCTGTAGAATGTCCTGTAGCTGGTTTCTTAGACTCACCTACTTGTCAACAACCTACATGAGTTCCTTTCTCCTGAGGTGCGGAATCCCTCGTACAAGCTGTTGGCTCAACTGTTTATCCGGCCAAACCAACCCTCCAACCTGTACCAGGGGGTCCATAGAGCGGAAGGGTCCTTTAGAATTCAAAGAGGGTCCCGCGCGAAATGCCCCGCTGCCTCCGACTGACCTGCGTCTATCCGGGGGTTGAATGTGGCTCACTTGTGTGCGTAGGGCGCTGGGCAGAAAACCACAAACGACGCTGAAGCTGGGCACACTTCATGACGTCTTTAAACCTCTCATTTTCAAAAAGCACAGTTCATCTCAACTCAAATGACTGAACTCTGCAACCACGCTGCAGAGTAGACCCTGAGCTGCAGAAACCTTAGTGCTTGTACCTCATTTGCAACCAAGGAAACCCAAGTTCCAAGCGCTCAAGATGTACTTCGCGCTTTGCGTGGGGGAGACCCAAGAGTTTCGCCTTCTCCGGCGGTCAAGTTGCGCGACACTAGTTGCCAAACATCTTTTGAACAACCAACGATTCATGAGCTGCAGGCAAGATAGTCTAGTGATAATTACTCGCTGCGGAGGTATGCTCATAGCCGTACAGGCAGGGGAATCGAAAAGAGCTTTAGGAAGAACCTTTATCCCAATCGGGTGCTTGCTTTGGAGAGTGGCTGCCTCACCCACAGGAAAACGAAGCGAAGGCATTTGTGTTTTCTGCCCAGTGAATCTCGGGCATCAGCAAAGGGCACCGCTGGAATCTTTCAAGTCTTTCTCGGTGTGATTCTGTTTCAATTGCCCGGCGTGCACCTAGAGTCGGAAGGAAACCATATTTAAGACAACCCACCAACACCTGGCTGCGGCTCAAAAAAGTGGCACCAAAATGGCACCTTGGTGAATTGAACCAAAGACTAAAACCCGCGTAACCCCAGCTCTTCAATTTTGAGCCATACCCACCTGGTTCACAGAACTTGGGTCAAAACTGCGAACCGCTCCTGCCAGTCCGCCGGCAGTTTCTGGAACCCATCCTCAGCCTGCGTGTCGCGTTTGTTGACAACCGAACAGGAAGCCTGGGCCAAACATGTGGGCCGACAATGCAAATTCCAACATGCCAACGAAGACATTACACATGCCATAGGGACAAATTTACCTCTTTTTGGACCGCGTTTACTCCCGTATGGATCCTAACAGACGAACATTCTTGGACAAGGCTCCTTTTGGGCGAACGCTTTTTGGACCTCATGTTGATTTGCGGAGGAAGGGGTTCCTAGAAGAGGTCGGACTCTAGCTTGCTGGCTCAGCATTGAGCCTGATTCCAATGGCCAATCAAGTGACGGGCTTGGAACTTGGGAGAACTACAAGGACCTAAGCAGCTTGAACGGGGCTGCAGAATCTTAGTAATGTTTATGAATAGGGGGAACCGCCACTTTTGGAGGGGAACACCCCCCTATGAATGAACTGGGGTTGATTAACATGGGTTCAACTTTGCAAACATTCGCAAAGGCCCTTGCAGGCGAGTGCACGCCCATCGATCAAGCTGAGCCCTGGTGCTCGTTGTTCTTCACTACGTTGCCGCGGGAAAGGGACGAAGGAGCACGGGACAACGAATGACAACGAATTGCTGCATGGCCATGGGTCAAAATCCCGTGCCCCCAGTGAACGTCCCAATCCCAACTAAAATAGACTAAACTGGGTGGTGCACCTACCCCAAAATGGTATCATTGGTTTTGACCCACAGCCGCATCTCTTGGTCTCCAACTGCGAAGGCCACAAGCTGTGACGTCTAGCATTTCTCTTTCTCATCTATGACTTAACCAAATTCTACAGTTGCCCTATTTGGGCCTTACAGACTACCTTGTTGAACACATGTTTGGGCCCCCCTAACGTGGTTCCGGTTTCCATGCCAAGTGTGCTCCAATAAAGGTTTGCAAAAGGACCTTTGGTCTCTTGACTGCAGAAAACGGCTCGGCTGGACTTATTCTTCATCCCTGATCTCTTATCCACCTTTTGATTTCAATCCATTCTGCTGGATACGAAACACCCATGAGTCTAAGACACCAGCCACAGGAAATTCTACGCGCAACCCCGTGTTGGTGGGTCTTTGGCGAACTTCTGCAGATGTCCTGTGGCTGGGTTCTGTCATATCAGCAAACGATGACGAACGCATGTCGCCTTTCACTGGCCAAAAAACGACCCCACGTCCGCAGACGCCTTGTTGGACCCCGCCATGTTTGCTTTTTTCAGTTTGGGCCAGCTCCTAAAGCGCCGACGTGTGGTGCAGGGGCCGATTAGTTTATATATGTACTGTGTATATATATATATATATCATATATGTAGTTGTTTTAATTAAAAACAACAACACATCAAATGGGGTGGGGTCAGAATCCAACTTAGTGAGCATGGGGTTGCGGGTGAAGAGTTCATAGGAGTAAACTATCAACTAGCAAGTACATAGTCACTCTGGCCCGCAAGATTGGGCTATCAGCAGGCGATGTTGGGGCATCTGGGAAATCTGCATTGAAATCTCAGACTGCCTGAGCTCGTGTTTCAGGTGAGCTCACTAACGCAGACTGAGTGAGTTGGCCCCATGTGGATGGACAAACTCCGAAATGCAGCAGTTAGGCGTTTATCAGCTATTCATAGGGTGTCGTCCCTCTCAACCGGTGCGAAGTGGATTCTGTCCGTCCACAGCGTTCAGCCTTTGGGATGTAGACTGCGCTTGCTGGAACCTAAACTCTCAACCAGTGGGTTGATTAAAAGCCTGGTGAAAGAACTACGGGACTTCGCCCCGTCCTCAAACTAAGACGTCCGACTGCGAGTCGTGTGCCTTCCCTCGCCTCAATGGGCCTCTTCCTCGTCTCCCTGAGCTGCTCGTACCTGGCGAATGCGGCACATGGTCGCTGTAAGACCTTGCGGGAAATGTTTGGTGGTTGAACATGCTCATGTTGATGCTTTCGCGCATCTGCGCTGTTCTGGCATTTGAGACTCATTAAGCAACTCACATGGTTCCTAAAGCAAATCACTTTGAGAGCCCCAGGCACTAGGGGTTTGGAAAGCTCATACGTCTTTTTGCTCACCTTTTGAGTGGATTGGTCAGACAAAAGTCCACTCTTTCTGTTTATGACTAAGATGGTCCAAATCCAAAAGTAACCAACGTCCAACTCAGGGAGCCTTCCGTCACTTCTGGCCATGGTCACTCGAGCCGCGCCGCCGGCTCTCTACTCACAATCTCCAGGATGTCGCGCCTGGCGCGTCTTCCACGAGGGGAATACCCAAACACCGGGGATCTGCGTGGTGAAGTCGGTGATAAGAAAAGAAGACTGGAAATACCAGCACGGTTGTTTCTCCGATTGTTGCACTATGGCTTCCTTTGGGGCAGCCATTTCGAATGCATTGAATCGGACCCAACTGGAACCAACTGCGTGAAAAAACGTTTTTGTGAAAGCAAAGAACTGTGCACCACGCTACGGTTGCTTATGGGAGGGCATGTTTACCGACATCAAGACGGCTTGAGCCAAAATGGCTACGGACATTATCTCAAACAATCCCAACACATCTTGGATGCGCTAATGCCAAAAGGCGCATGTTGAGGTAGGCGCAGAAGTTCTTCCACCAACATCGACGGAAGGCATGCGAATTTGCCTGGAACCATGACCAATTGTGGCACCCTTCGCTGTACATCATGCAGGTCGCACATTATTCTCGCAAGGTCACCGTCTCGAATTCATTGATCTTTCGCAGTCAACATGTGGGGGTGCCTTTTCTTGAGGGCGCCCTTTTCGGGATTCAAAAGACAACCACCTCCTTGGAGTGTTCCCCTTTGAGACAACCCATGCGGACAACCCAGCAAGAGTTAGACAGGGCTTTCCCGTCCGCATTTTGCCATCCGGTCCTAGGGTCCCCCCCACACTTTTGGGCACAATTCAAATACACCCACTAAAACAGCCTATTTTCAACATTCAAATTCAATCACCCAACCAATCCAACACCAAAAAACACATATTCATATACCCATCTTCATTTCTTACCCCATCTCAACATCACCCTTACACTCATTCAATAACAACAATCATAACTACATACCACCTCAACAAATCCCACCAAAAAAATCCAAGCTACATACCAACATTTTTCCATTCCCAAGATCACAACCCCAAAATCTCAATAATTTTCTCCCTTGTTCCAACTTGACACCCTTACTTGTTTCTTGCAAACTCAAGCAGTCTAAAATAAAACCCCAAAATTTCTGTTACCCTCATCACCCCAAAACGAAAGAACACCACCATTCCCGCCCAAACACCCAAATATCTGGATGGCAATATGCGGATTGAACAAGGTTGGAACTGCAACAAACGCCGTTGGAACTGCAATTGGAACTGCAAAATCCGCCGTTGGAACTGTAGAACATATTGCAAATCCGGTTTCTTCAACACCGCCTCTCCCTCACCCCACCATTTTTCACAGCATTTCAGTCGCTTGAACGAGTCAAGATCATATCTTCCATGAACTCACATACTGCTCAAAGTTGAACTTGCATTTCTCCGAAACATCCCATGTGCCGACAACCTTCTGCTTCAATGCATACCCTTCTGCAATGTCACCTTCAGGAGCGACTACAACCCAGTTGATGGTCTTGACTCCATTCAGTTGGAAATAGTTTTTGAACTGCTTGTAAGAAGCACCAATCTTGCAGTCGTGACTTTTCGCCTTCGTGACCTGCAGTAGCCAAAGCGTGATGTTCTTGCCCTCCTTTGTAACAAAGAACAAATCAGCGGCTGGAAATGCCTCAGATTCAGGACAATACAAGCAATTCTCATCAAATTCTGGCAAAGGCTTCGGTGGTGGCTGGTCACCCAACTTCTTGAGCATCTTCTGATGCGTCGGGATGCCAATTTTGAATGCAGCTGGCTCTGTCTTGTCCTTACTCGTCTTCAATGCAGTGCAAACAAGCTCCACCTTCTTGGATTTGCAAACCTTGGCGACATGCATCTGAAATAGCCGACCGCACTGTGTGCCCAAAGGGCTGATATTCAAACTTGCCTTGATAAGGTCAGGGAGAGCTTTCTGTTGCTTCTCTGCCAGTTGGTCACACAAAACGTTGAGAACAACCTCGGACTCAATCAACTTCACATTGGGCGTCTGAAATTTGGCATCCGAATGGATATGTAGCACCCGACTCATCTTGCTCCTGTTGTTCTGTGCATCCATGTCTGCACCGCCACTGTCAGCAGCCTGACACAACTCTTCAAACGTGCACTTGACGACGCAGTCGCGAATCATCTGCTTTGCTTCCTCTTCCAGAGTGGTCTTATTCTCGGCTACTGCCACCAGCAATTTCTCCAAATATCGCACACTCCCTCCAAGCATGGAATATGCCATCTTCACGACTGCCTCTTCCTTGCAAATTTGCAGTATGCCCCCAGCTTTCCAATGGTTCAGCACCTCCTCTTCTGACCAAATTGGCATGAAATAGCGCTTTGAACGACCTTCAGCCTGTTTCCAAACACTGTCGTAGTTCTTCTGCTGTGGCGAAGTGAAAATAATGGTGCAACCACGCATGCGAGGGTCAACAGGCTGCGAGTTCTCACCGCCAACTGGGTCTGCCAATAGAACAGTTTTGGAGTCGTCAAGGAGTTTGACCGGCCATGTGTCATTGTGCGTGATGGTCTGCCCTGAAATGCGCGACCACCACCTTTTGCCCAGCTGGATGACGATGTTGATGCCCTCTTCAGCCAAACGACTTGCCACATAAGCCAAAAAAACGGATTTCCCAATGCCGGGAGTGCCTGTAATGACAAACACACCAAATAGTGTTGCAGGTTCAAAGCTGTTCAACCACAGCTTCACAGGGTCTTCATACATGCTTGTGAAGCAGTTGCGGATGCCCAATTTGTTGCCCATCTCCGCCTTTCCTAGCATGTCATGCTCAAAGCTCTGCACGGTGTCAGCTTCCCAGTTGCTGGGCTTCGCTGTCTTGGACACAGCTTCATCCAGCCAGAGGCAAAGCTCATCTTGATATCCAGGGTCCTGAGCAGTGCAGTGAAAGCAAACCAACAAAACAAGTAACTAGCAATCACCCCAAACACAAGCAAATAAACCACTCAAACAAACATACCTAAGAACCAGAGAGGAACGAAACAACCAAACCTAGAAAAGGGAATGGCGCAACATATTGATTATGTTTAAGCCAAGGGGCGGGTGCTGATGGTGGCTGGAGGTCTTGAATCCGATGGTGCAGTCTTACGGCCACGATGCGTCGCACATTCAAATCACCCACTTCGTGTAAATAGAAGGACAATGTCTCTGCTGAAGCTTTGCGCAGGTCATCCTCCGGAAGTTGTTGAATGAGCGAGCCGACACTGCTTTTGGAAGCCTCATCCATGGCGACGTCATTGAGCTGCGCCACAGTCCAGTCATGGTCAAGCTTCCGCTTCTTTGGCGGTGCTGTTTCTACCATTGCGCAAAACTGAGAGCAACGTAAACCTAAACAAACATGACACTTTCAATGACTGATGCTCATCGTGCTTTGGTCGCAAATCGCCCGATCATGCTACCTCAAGCTTGAACCAACCGTTGGCGGAATCAGTTTTGCCACCGCCATTACAACATGTTGTCTCAGCAAATGTTGTTTATGAAATATCGTGACAGAAACCGTGCCATGTCGTCATAGATTCAGTGACGTGCCGTCATAGAAACAGTGACACATTGTCATAGAAACAGTGACGTGTCGTCATAGAAACAGTGACGTGTCGTCATAGAAACGGTGACACGTTGTCATACAAACAGTGACACGTTGTCATAGAAACGGTGTCCCAGAAACAGTGACATATCGTCTCAACCCTTGTCGTTGGTGACTGATTGTCGTAGTCGCTGTTCAAACCCTCAAAATCTCTGACCTCAAATAGGGGCGGTTCATCCCTTCAACAGAATAATAATCTTGACCAAGTTTTTTTTCAACCCTTGAAACCTTGTATTTGACACTGCTCCAGTTGCTCGTTCTTTCTTTCTCGGAAATCCCTTTTTTGCGGTATATTTTGACCTCATCGCCAACCCTAACAGGGGGATACTTACGGGTTTTGATTCTGTTCATCTCAAGCTTCATCTTGACCTCAAGATGGTTTCCCTTTTTGTGGGCATCGTTTGGAGTCATATCGTGGGCAGAATGAACCATTTTACTGTTGTATGTCAGCATGATCTCGGGGATATAATCAACCCATTGTATATTAACCTTTCCCTTTTTCTCGTCTGCATCAACCCTCTTGAAAAGCATGTCCTTGAACGTGCGAATGAAACGCTCGGCGAAATGGGGGTGCCCTCGTGTTTTATAGTTTTGGATCCCTTCGTCCTTGAAAAAATCGACAAGATCTTGGGTATTGAGACTCCCCTCGTCATCCGAATAAATTAATTTGGGTTTCCCTCCCATTTTGTTTAATGCCTCCATGATCCCAGCCGTGATGTCGGCAGGTTGCTTGGATGCAATAGGCACCACCACGGCTTTGCGGGAAAATACATCAATAAGCAATAAGCCTATCCTATATTTTTGATTATCTAAATCATTTTTTGATATAAAAAACAGATCCAATTGATATTCAAAGTTGATATCAGGGGCAATAAACGAATTGTATCCAGACAGTTGTTTTTTCCGTTCCACGTTCTCTTGAAACCACTCCTTGACATCTTGCATTGTTATGGATGCATCTTTCTTTTTTGCATCTTTGTAAGTGGTGGCGATGCTACCAAACCCAGCCTGATCGTAGTAGACCTCACTGATTATCTTGTCTTTTTCACTCATATATATATATATAATACTATAGAATAAATATCAGTATGTTATTTTATCACTGAAGCATCTATTACAAGAAGCACAGAAGGCAGACATTATCCTTTGTATGGGGAAGATCATTACATAACCTTTGACAAGTCAGAATAGAATTTATATTACCAGAATACATTGACAACACGAAACCACAGCCACAATTTGCACACTTTCCGTTGACATTGTCCTTCAACCATTCGGCATCCACATAATTGTCTTTTGGGATCTCAAATTTGTTTTTCCTATCCTGTTCCTTGTATGCTAACACCTTTCTATCAAAATAATTCATAATGCATTTTGCGTTAAACTCTTCATTTAAACCACTACTGTATTTGTAAAATTTTACTCTGTTTAAATCCCTTGCCCGAGTGATCCCCGTCCAAAGCCACTCGCGAGTTATCAGATGATGGTTCCAGTCAAATATCACGACATCGTCATCAATGGAACACCCCTGAACAGAATGACAAGTATAACAGAAGGCAAAGATAAAATGACTTCTCAAGATACCAATATTTAGCGTGATCTCTTCTCGTGTTTTGATATTAGCAATGGTAATCCAAGGATCGGAAATATTAATTATCTCATACCTAAAATTCACATTTAACTTATAGGTTTTTGTCTTCCTATACTCTCTGCATATCATGATCTCGCCGACTTCAAACTCATTTTGTTTGCCCTGTCGTTTCCTGATCTGCCTTGAAACCTCTCTACAAGTGTTATTTAAATATGCGACATTGCTTTCTGTTCCTGTGATGTCATCAGTATATTTAAAATACTTATTGATGACATCATGTAGAGACAACTCATGCTCAAAGATGTCGGCATAAATGCTTTTAAGTTTATCCTTGTCCTCCTGAGTCTTCAATCGCTTGCACTCTTCCAAAAACAAATGATGAGGAAAAATGCTGTCAATACATTCATTCATATAAATCTCGTGTTTCTTAGTGTTAGTCAGTGCTTTTATGGGGCTCAACTGCTTGGCGTCACCGGTTGCCAACATTATTTTACTGTCCTTGAACTGCTCAACAAAGCCCTTGATTTTTGCCAATACAAAGGTATTATTAAAACAAATCTCATCAAACACAATGACATCAAACATCGAATGATCGTATTTATCTAGCTTCTCGTCATTGACTGCTATACCGAAGAATTTATTTACAGTGACGCTTTCCACTTCGCACTCCAAACCCAGATTATTGGTAGGAACCACGAACAACACTTTATAACCCTTGAGTCTCTCCATGTTCTTGCAGATGGTGGACTTCCCCGCTCCTGCGAATTTGCCTTAATCATCAAGCACCTATATTTCTCAACAAGTTCAACCAATTCATTTTCATCATACTCATTAATGATGTTAACTCTCTTACTTTTGACAATCGGGATATCAACATATTCACACTTCTTCTGTTCATACAACTGCTTTCCTGTATGATGGATCTCATCGTGAGTCTTGGCTAATTTCCACCCACCGATCCCATCGTGAAAATCTAGCAACTGCTGAGTCTTTCTCAAACCAAACTTATTAAAACCCGAACAGTCCACGACAAAAGCGTCGCATTTGACACTCAATACCTTAACATTGTTCTCTGTCAATTTTTGATATGCGCATTGCATTTTGAAATTATGATACTGCAAAAGCATTTCTTTAATAAAACGAAACCCATTGGACAACTCGCACCTATCAACCACATTCAGAATATAATATAAATTGTCGTTTTGTTCAGATACTTCTCTATCACGGCACCACACCCCGTTGTCATCGTATTCCTCAACCCACTTGGCAGTATGCTTACTCATCATGTTTAACTTCCCACCTGCATCTGCCTGAAGGCTGATCGCCTCATTGAGATCATCAAAAACGAATGATCTCTGACTGCTGTTCTTACTTTTTTCCAACAAGCCAAAAATCGAGTTGGCTATTATTTTTTTAATTGCCTTGTCTTCTTCAATATTTTCGCTTATTCGCTTTCCCCAGAGTTCCTCAACCAACATTTTACTATCTACCTTGTGAATGAAATGTGGCTGTTTGTAGTGAGTAATGGACAACTCGCCAGATGCAACAAGTGGCATAAAATGCTTAAGAAACATACCATAAACTATATTTGTATCATTATTAAAAAACAGATTGTGATGTGTCAGTTCTGCTTTTACCAAATATATAGTTACATCCTTGATCTTACATTTACTATTATAAGCTTTCCAATTATCAAACTGATTAAAAACTCCAATTCTGGTAATCGTATTAAATGTATCTGTAAACGCTTTGTTCATGTCGATCTCCTGTTTTGGAACATCCAATTTATCCAAGCCCTTGAATAACTCGCCTTGTGGGACGATGGTTCTATAATTATTTAAAACTTGTATATCGGTAGGACTATAATAAGACTTGTGATTTGGATTGAATAATTTCTTTTTGAATGTAAACATCGCTTCAGTCATATTGTTGTAAACCGTTTCTCTGTCTACCGTGATGTCGCTATTGGTTTGGTCATCGACCAAACACTGCGACCTAATATTTAGATATACATGATTGAAGTCCGCCCTCAATTCTGAAATAGTCCCTGCTTTGTGAATAATCCTGCATTCATACCCGATATTTTTGAAATCGCAAAATAATTTATTTAGATCATTCTCTCTATGAACTAAATCTAAAAAGTTCTTTTCCTGTTTGTCGGTTGTGTTCGCAATTGTTGCCTTAACCATTTCAAAAACGTCATCAATAGTAGAAAACATTTTGCAAATCGATGGCTTCTCTCTATCACTTATATGATAGTCGGGTCGTGCCTTTACTACAAATGCATCATCAGTATTTTGTTTTTGTTCCAATCTTTTAATATTATTATTCAGTGTGTAGATATGATTATTTTTGACCATTGCATAAAAGGCTCTGATGTTGCGGTCAAACATCTCTGGTGAATAAGAATAAATGATTTTGCCCAGTTGGTCTATTATTCTCACACGCATTCTGTATTTTATAAATACCGGGATCATGTCATCAATTGACGCCCCCGACTCTGTGAATTCCTGTTCTGTTTTATTTATTAGTTTTAGTATCATCCCTCGCGACATTGGTTCTTTCTTCTTGTTGTTCATTAGGGTATCTTTATAATAATCAGTGAGTGTATTCAACCAACATTGATTGTCTACATAATTACCTTTCTGGATTGCTTCCATAAATGCTTCTTTCGATGTATCCAATTCGGTATACATGTAAGTATTATACATACTGATGTTTTCCGATCTTCTCAGGTTGGCTTGTCGTGGATTACTAGGCTGTCCACCTTCCACCTTTCTGGCCCTCAAGATCTTCAAGCCGTCAATATACCCCGTCTCTACGTTGTAAGCAACAGCGTTAGTCTTCTTGGTTAACCTCTTCTTCTTGTTGATCTCGATTGTTTTTTCTGATCAACGCCAACATACCCACCCATAATATTTAGCATTGTTTCAAATTCTGGATCTTGGGCGAGTGTTACAATGAACTTTCTGAATAGATCATAATCATTGGTTTTTACAATTCGTTTGCCTACATACTCGTCTATATTTGTGCTGGCGTTAACGGTGTATGT